AAAAACCAGATTTTTGCCATATTCATACTCGAATCGGTTGAAAAATACAAGTAATTTTCTAGTTTACTCGATATCTATAAATATTGCAAGCAATATTTTGATAATTATTTATGTTTTTTGTTGTTGCACAGGCAGATTGAGGTTAAGAAAACGCCACTGGGCTGAATCAGGAATTAGAAACATTAAAACACACTCAAAAAATAAATCACATTTCCAATGGAAAATATCCATTAGAATTTCACATAACTTTCATGTGATCTCATAATTGGGAATCGCACTACAAAATCACATGAACCTTATGTGTCCAATGAAATTTATGGGATTTATGACATAGAGTCCATGTGATCATATGAATGTTATGTGAATTTCAGATAAAAATCATTAATTTTGTTATTGAAAATAATATCATGTGCGTTCCCAATGGAAACTATATGAAAACTTTTTTCGGTGCACCTATATGTAATCACCTTGCTGCTGTTGCGGCGCTGATGGCGTACGCTGCGTTTGAGTTTCTGCAAGTTCCGTAGGTAAATCACGAAATGAAATGCAAAGCGTAGAGAAAAGTAAAACTATGGAACACATGGATTAGAGGATCAAATTAACATGGTGAGATCAGTCCAAATACTTTTCACAATAAAATAAATAAATAAACTAAATACGTGCCAGGATTCAAAAGAACATTTTGAAACTGTAAGTGTGTATGTAATACTAATATCCAATTGATAGAGGTAATACTACACGCGGGGCTTATTGTAAGTGAAAGTAACCTCGGAATGGGCGTGACTCTCCAGACATTCTGAAATGGGTTGCTGGATCTGCAATAGAGCTATCACCTTCTAACTCCCGGACTAAAGCTGTCTACAATGACCATAAAAGCGACATTGTAGAGAGAGTTCTTCCATAATACCACTGCCGGCCAGTGGGGGTTAGAGGGAACACACACACACACACACCTATATGTAATCACCTTGCTGTATAGAGATTGCTGACGTTTATCGTACGAACACTACATCGATTCTATAACATTCCCCAGAATTCCATTCCCCAGAAAAGGTCATGAAATTAGTAATTTATCGCTTTGTTTTTGATTATTTGATATTATATTTCAGTTTTATATTACAGAACAGGCGTCCATAAATAAACAGGTTCGCAAGTATCTTTGATTTAATATATTTTTCATGATAAAACTCTCTGATTAGTTTCACTTTACTATTGATGATACACTACGTTTACTTTTATGGAACTATGTATTTATCAATTCCAAACCATGTTATAGCTCTTTAGAAAATGACAACCTTCAAGCACTTCGTTCATCATTTAAAAAGTCAAAGGGTCTATTATGCAATCCAATTCAATCAGTCGGAAACTGTTAAACCTTATCGAAGAATTGTTCGACCTGAGTTGTAGAATTTCTCGTGATGGATTAAAAAATCGGTGCATGGAACGTTGAACTACCGATTACAAATTTATAACATTATTCATTTTCATTTTCAAGCACAGAAGGGGGTCATAGGGCCAAGTCACCAGCGAAAAATAGCTGTCCATACTGCACCAGGGTAGAGGTATAGATTTGGCATCACAGAATAATAACCACAGGGGTCAAATGAATCCTGTTTACGATACCGGATAGTAAGGAAAGCTGTTGAACATAGGGGATAGTCAGAGTAACAGCAATAATAGTGAAAGTTAGGAAAATAAGCAGGTAGAGATGGTTGATTTGCAATGGCTATCGACTCTGTTATATGGCCTACCGTATCAGATTCAAATTTAATGTCGTTTAATATTGCGCTTATTACTTTTATCTTTATTCTAAGCAATCTCCTTTCATACTTGTTTGTTTTAAAGTGAACTGGATGAAATGATTGTTTTATCAAAATTATGTTAAAGTTAACTACTATTCATATTTGTTAATTAACACCTAAATGTAATTTTTAACTTTATGAAGATAAGTTGCTCAGAATAGCAGCCTGTAATTCCGTACCAGAATCCGCCTCCAATTTAATGTATTTTGTGGATTCGTAGTAGCAAAGTTGTGCTAAAAGCTAAATAGTTACCTAAAAATACTACCTAAATCGTTCACAATCAGAGCCGGGCCACTAATGAAAACCAAAACTACAACCCTGGAAAAACGAATCGATATTTTCGAAGGCGAACACAACCTATTCTTGCTAGTGATTCTGTCCAATTGTTAGGTATCCAAATTATAGTCATTCGTAAATTTATTATTGAATATATGGATGAATTATCTATTATTGAATAACTATTATTTACGATAATTACATGAAAGAAATAACATATAAACTACAAACAAAACGTGACTACTAAAATCTCAAAAAGATATTCTCACAAGTATATTTCACGCAACCAGGAATCTCAAAACCATTAGACGCTATAATGATACTCTGCACATGTTAGACACAAGAAAAGGCCAAAAAGCAAGCGTCCGACACACAAAACCCGCCAAATCCACTGGCAGTCACAATCAACGATTCTACGAATCGCAAGCGCTCACGAATCATAAAACCGCTGACTGCGACACTCTGAAAGCGAAATTGACAGGCTCTATGCGTCAAACACCCGCCCTCCAATCTCCTCCCGCATCCAACAACACAAACCCCCATTACAACATCTAACGAATTCAAAACTCCGAAAATCACTCATCTATAGAAAGTGAGTGGAAACAACCCTGCATGCAACTATTCTTCATGATACGCTTTGTCTGTCTATCTTTCTATTAGGCCTGTGGACATGTGTTAGCTTCGAAACTTCTAACCAAACTAGGAAAATTTTGAGATCACAAAAAAAAAATTCAAAGGTAATTACAAGCAAAATACATATTGATTATTTTACGCAAAACCGAGCAAGTAATATTAAATCTCTTGTATTGTATGCTAATGCTAATTGACTGTAACAAAAATAATATGCTTAAATAAATAAAATATTAATAAAATGATATGCAAAATTTACTAGAAGGTCATTACTTTATTGGTGAGAAGTTTCTAATAAGCCCTCCCAGTTCCTCTGTATACAGAACAAATCTGATACTATAATCAGAATTGCTCAGTCTGCATGAAGCAGCCGATTGCATCAAGGAAGTTCTATTAACAACCAAGAATTAATCGTTTGAGGTATACTGAAGCATTAAGAAGGTGATATGTGTCACTATGGGAAATCATCATCGTTGCAAATATAAAGAAATTAAACATAACCCTTTGCTTCAGTACCGTCAACCTCCATGTCCATGGGGAGGGATTACAAATTTATAACATTATTCCACGTTATTATCCCGAATGGGCATTACCCCGAATTCCTTGCGAAAAACTATTGATTATATACTGCCTATAATCGCATATCAGTCCCATATGGAAAAAGTAGGCATTGAGAAAATGGCAGTCAAAGATACGAAGTGCAATTCTCATGTAAATATTTGAAAAATCTCAGTTAATTTATTGTTATTTTTTCAAGTTAAAATCTGTCACAATGAAGCTTACATGATCTGTTATATCAGCGAAAAATATGGCAATTCGAAAAGCAGAACTTTAACTTGAACTATGGACGATTGAATTTCAGGATATAACTGATATGTGATTACTTTGCTTGATGGGACAAACTGACTTGATGTTGTTTTCATATTTTTCATGATCAAAGTCCATAGTTTTATCACATAATATGAAATAGATGCCAAGTGATAGTGGATAGCGTTGTTATCTCAAAATTGACGAAAATCCATATGGGACTGATATTTTACTTATATATAAAGAAGGGAATATTCCATTCTTTATCGTTTATCCAAAGAATTAATTATTTCCTTTTCTTATATTTTCAAAGAAGGGAAAACCCCTTGATCCATTGATGAATTTACGTTACGGTCGACCAGCAGATGGAAGTGATGTGAAAATGATAATGACGTTTTGCTACCTGTCAAAGTTTTACCTTTGCGTAAATTAATCAATTAAGAAGTTTTTCTCTTCTTTTTATATACCCGAAAGAACATTACAGGAGTGACTATAATAAACAAGAATAGTCAATCTAATATTGCTGATTGCATCTGAAACTGGACTGTCCCAAAATGCAAAAAGTGTGATAAAAGTGCACGTTTCCGTCAAATCGTTTTGATGTCTTCGGAGCACTTATTGCTTGCATCATAAGGAATAAGTGCACCGAAGACACCAAGACGATTAGACGTAAACTTGCAGTTTTATCACACTTTTTAATAAGCGAAAACGCGCTTATTAGTCCAATTTGGTGTGAAACGCGCATACTTTTCTGGGGAATGTTATAGAATCCACTACGTCACGTATACGTATATGCAAAATGTTTTCATCGAAAAAAAAAACTTCATAGCGGAAAATTTTCCCGATGAAAACAAATCATTGACACAATCATACTTTAGCAATACTCTATACGAATTCGTTTATTATTCAGTTTCAACCTGTAATATCGATCAATGTAATTTAAGCTGATGAATGAAATAATGATACAATATTATTTCAATGGATGAAATTTTGTTCGCAAAATCAATGTACATCGTACAACGTTATATTACACAACCAATGGATTGATCTGGTTGCAGCAGTTTGGATGTAATATTCAACAACTTTTTTTTTCTGTGCAAGTTTTACACATTTTACCGTTCGGATTGTTAAAATGTCAGTTTGGTTAACGTTTGTTACATACGACCTATTCAAAATGTACTCCAAAATGTGTTTACGTTTGTTATACACGACCAATTCAAAAAGCACTCCAGAATTTTCAAACCGCTCTTGCATAGCTTTGAGAAGATTGAAAATAATTTGCTACAGCTAAGCAAAACAATTTTCTAGAATTTGTTCAATGCAGAGTTGTAACAGGTTGTATTGGCTATCAAAAGCAACATCAAACGCACCGAGAAACGTTAAATCCAGCAAGTTTTTAACAAAAGAGAATCGATCATCTCATATAGGCCCTTATGCATGCTCACTGTCGAAATAATCCCAAAAAAATAAACGAATCTTACTTACTGTTTTAGATGGTACCGCATACAATTTCTTGCTTTTCGACGTACTTTATCGATATTTCTATTGTTTATTTTACTGGACGTGCACTATTGAACGACTCAGATCCAAATACACGGATATCTTGAATAAATTAAGAATAATATATATCTTACTCTCCCTTTATATGGCACAGACCTGTTGGTCCATATTAGATATATCTTACTCGTTGCAGTATGCCATTCAATTTTGAAATAATGACAGCGCACCACTAGTAATGGGCGCGGATGCATCGCTGTTAAATGCGCGGACAATCGATCCGCGCGAGCAATGATATTTTCCATGGGCACCAGAAAGGGGGCAACTTGCGTACAAGTGCGCGAGCAAATACAACATTATGAAATCTTGTGTGCAAGTTTGTTCGCGCGACACGAAAAAAAATACTACTCAAATTTCCGTTTAATTTACTCTAAACTGCAGAATGAGTAAACTGTTGTTGGAAAATCTTAAAAAAATATTAGTGTCATTTAATCAAATTTGAGTAAACTTTAACTCATTCATTCCAGTAAATCCTCTTTTTGCCATTTTCTAGTAAACCGAACTCAAATTTGAGTATAATTTTGTGTCCATGTTAAGAAAAAATATTTTACGGGCTACAAATGGTGAGTCGACAACCTGGAAGGAGTGTTGTTCCAACAGCTCTGGTCCTCACAAGTTCCTACCTCACGCTTCCACGGGTCAACCGATGACAAAGACCGCCAGCAAAAGATACTGGTAGCGTAGCCTGGGCAATGTCACCACGATAAAAACATGGATCCGGATCGTGGTGATAGCAAAGTGAGTAGGTGCGACCCTCGAGCGTCTGTTCACCATGGAGGAGTATCACGTCAACAGGTGGCAGCCCCACCAACATGATGTAGGTATCGCGACCCCAGTAATGAGTAGCCCAACCTAATGGAATCCCGTAAATTTCCCAGAAAGGAATTCAAACAGAACAAGAAGCTGCTGTAAAAATCACAAAAGTGGTGAAAGCTTTAAATTTTTTATTAAATAAAATACCAGTAATGAGTAGCCCAACCTAATGGAATCCCGTAAATTTCCCAGAAAGGAATTCAAACAGCACAAGAAGCTGCTGTAAAAATCACAAAATTGGTGAAAGCTTTAAATTTTTTATTAAATAAAATACTCACACAGACACACACATTTTTTGACACATACAACAATCATTACTATCGAAAATCTGCCAGCAACGTTTACCGAACGTATCCTATGGCTTACCTTCCAACCAACCTCCAAACTCCTGTGACACTTATGAGAGGTCGTAGAGTTCTCTGCATCTCTCTTAAGTAAGTGTCCAACTGACAATCCTGCCCATCCCCACCAGTTTCAAGGACGTGGCCAGGACAGTTCTCGATTGTTGGAGATAGTGATTCTTCCATCTAAGAGGCCGAGATCAATCCCAAATCTCGGACAAAACGGTAACGGATGGAGGTGGCAATACTCTCAAACAATAGTCTGGAACTTGTATCACCTACGAATTTGTGCAACTTGCTTAATGCTAATGCTAATGTTAAGAAAAAAAAAATTACGCTAATTTGAAACTACCCTAATTTGATAAGCATTTACTTTTTAGGAAAAAAGACAACATCATTAAATAAGGTAAAAAACAACGCCATAGCTATCTTAATAAGTTAATAAATAGACATTATTCATCACCATGTGAGAAAATTGACTTTTTGCTAAATTGAGTCAAATTGAACTCAACTTTTATCAATTTTGATTCTCATCGACCGTGCAACAGTTATGGAAATGTGGAACTTTGCAAAGGTATACTAAACACGGTTACCGCAAAATGCCCAATAATGACTACAAAGTACAAAAATTAGTAGTAAGTATTCATTTATGAGTAAACAAATACTCATAAATGGGTAAAAAATTTACTCATTTAATGGGTAGTTCCAGTTTCCCTCGAAAATGCATACCTTGTAGTCAATATTGAGTCTTTTATAGTAATTATTGAGTATTTTGCGGTTACCGTGCATGCTGCCTAAATCACATATTACACCTCAATGTCTGCAATGTACATTACACAAGCATAACAGAGCATACACGACCGTTGAAAGCTATTCAAAAATTAATAAAATTCAATGATTTTTGAAAAAAAAATTGATAACTCATTACGAAGTTTTAGTGAGTGACAAATAACTCAAAACTAAGTGAAACCGTATGAAAATTGATAATGCTTTAAACTAAATAGTGGATAAGTCTACTTTTAGTCGCCTAACCTGAGTTGACCTAACGCTTTTAGAGATTTGAGTAAAATTGTGTATGGGGGATTATAGCATGCTAACAATGTAAACGATAATCATTAAAAAAAATACGGAATAATCTGTGAAAAATATCGATAATCTCAAAAAGTGCACACATCTAAATTATGGGTAAGCAACGATTACCTAACATTCAGCAAAAAATTACAATATTATTAGTAAAACAGTGCCTATGGTAAGCAAAAAGTAAAAAAAAAATACCGATTATCTTCATCGACTTTCCCATTCGATGAGTTTGCTATTGCTTTTGCTAGCCAATACAACATATTACAACACTGTATTGGAAAAATGTCGGGAAATTGGTGAAGAGAATCGATCATCGCAGTTAGGCCCTTATGATTCTTGACATAGTCTATACTACTACTTCAGGCCTATTTCATTACACAGCTTTTCTAAATTTAATGTACAGTGCACAGTGGTCGAAAACGCAAAAAGCTTGTCTTCTACAATTTTTATAACATTTAATTCTAAGGTGCTTCTTATTATTTTGTATGTGTTATTGATATTGATATTGATCATTGATATAAAAAATTTAACTTTTTTTTAAAGAAATAATGCATTTTTTTAAAGTTGTGGCTTAGCTTATTTCAAGCAACTTTGTAGAAAGAGAAGAGTTTGTATTTCTTAAATTGACCGGTTTAGAGTAATGTTCATAAATTAGGGTTAAGGTGACTTAAAACAAAACGTTTTATTTTGCTTTTCTTATTTAAAATTTCTCAGCAAAAGTGTCTTCAAATAACTTTTAGATCTTTTGAAGACGTAAATTTTTTGCCGTACATACCTTGTCGATATCTTTTGCCGAAAATAGAGGTTTGTTATTTTTTAAACAAGTATTAAATCAATTTGCATTTATTCATTTTTTTTTACTACCATCAGTGTGCCATTTACAGCTCGTGTTCCAATTAACGTGTCAAAAACTTATATTTCTTCGAATTCTAATCATCTAGTGTAGCAGGTTTTGGCGGTATACATATATAATATTCACCTCGGCAAATGCTGCATATTTCATCGTTGATCCAAGCTTCTGCACCGAGTCTATATAAACGTTGATTTGTTGGTAGGAAAACAATCTCTTCGGTGGAACTACGCTTACAGTAATCGAATGCCATCGACCATCCAGCAAGTGGGTCGACTGAGCGGTTGCGGTGAAAAATTCCTTTTTCGTGATGACACTAACCACAAAATTGCCGTTTTTCTGGATGAAAAATTCATACCCGGTCAAGTCGAACCCAAGCATGAAACACGAACCCATGGGCGGTATCCCATTTACGTATTTCGGGAATTGTAATGCCATTTGTGTTACCTTGGATATCCAGATACTCTATCGGGGTAATTCCAAGTGACAGCCTGTTGAGAAACCTTCATAATGACTTCCAGTAACTGTTTTCTATACTCAAAGTTAGCCTCGTTCCTGAGCAACCGGAGAAGACATTTCAGCTCAATCGGGTGGATACTATGCTTGGCGAGTTCTTCTATTAGTTTAAGCAAATTTATAGCGCATTTCGCTGACAATTTATGTTGATCTTCCAAGCAGTAATCCACGATACACTTAATCATCCGTTGCTCCGATATTGAATGTTTGCTTAAAAAAATAATGTCGATTTATTTGTTTGTTTTTTAAACAGGTTGAAGGGTTTTTTTTACCTTTGAATGCTGGCCGAACACTTCTTCAGCAGTACGTCACTGATGTAGTTTTGTTCCGCCTCAGCCATCACAGGTATCCACTCCACCAGCTTGATAACGATTCGAGCGTTCAAACTATGGTAATCGCCTCCCTCGAAGGCAAAGTACAAACAATCGCATACCAAATCGTGAGACGGTCGCCCGAAAAGTTTCAATCCATCGAACAAAACGTTCACGTTGTTGGTATGCATTAGATTGTAGTGGATTTTTTCAGAACTGCTGCAAAGCTTATGGAAATTCCTGACCAGTGTTGAGCCCAATGTTTGATGATCGATATGCCAGATCTGTTGTGGAGATAAACGAAAAGCCAACAACTATCTTGAATGTTTGTGGGCGGCGAGTAAGTGCAACTCTTACCTTAACTCGTTCCGGGATCAGCACTAGACTGGGTATAAATTTTGCTTCGAACATGGCATTGCACAGTACATGCTTGTTGACGTGCCCCTGTAGGAAGTGCTCTATCACTCCGATAATAGTAGTCAGAGCCCCGACGTCAATGTTATTATCATCATTTGGCGACACCTCGAAACTTTCACCTCGAAATATAACCTCGGCGATCCTTTCTGCAGGAAATGTTCCGTTTCCAGTAAGGTGTGAACGGCTCCCAGATACAGTTGAAAAATAGTAAGTAAATCGATTTGGCGCTAAAATTAGAGCGATGGTAATTAGCTACACGATTGCAATGCAGTCGAAAACTACTGTACCTGTTCAGGACTAGATTTTTGCAATATGATTGCCATCATGGTGAAACATTGCAGTACGAGCTGGCGTAAGCTCGAATCGCTTTCCCGCTTGGACAAAATATCCATAACTATGGTAACCGTGGCGGGACTAATGGCACGCAATCCGTTATCCTGTCCACAGGATAAACAGGTATTAAATGTCGAAATAAGTTGTAACAATGGGTGACATGCATGTTAGGTACTAGGTTTAAGCGTCGTATGATGAGTGATTATGTTAATCAAAATATGAAAACACGCAACTTGAAAGAAGATAACATTCAAAGCAGAGAAACTCACCACATTAGCATTTCCGTCACCAGTAGGATAGTTTAGATGGTAAGAATTAATGTTCTGATCCGGTTCATTAATAAGAGCAACCTACAAATCGGTATGATTAAATTTGGAGACATTAACGATTACTATTACCAGGGTTGCTTCCACTCACTTGCTATAAAAAAATATTATACGGAATTGTGCAATCATTAGATGCAATAATGCTATGTTGTACTTGTAAGTAACAAGAAGAGGTAGTAAAGTATGTGTTTGACTCATAAAACCTGTCAATTTCGCTTTGAGAGCGTCACAATTAGCGATCTTATGATTCGTGAGCGTTCACTCAGAGTGAGCGCTCACGAGCAGGGTTACTTCCACTCACTTGCTATAAAAAAATGTTTTTCGGAATTATGAAATCATGATATAGTATAATGCTAATTAGTACTTGTAAGTTACAAGAGGAGGTCGTGAAGTATATGTCTGACACATAAAATCTGTCAAAATTGCTTTCAGTGCGTCACAATCAGCGGTTTTACGACTCGTGAGCGTTCACTCTGAGTGAACGCTCACGAATCATAAGATCGCTAATTGTGACGCTCTCAAAGCGAAATTGACAGGTTTTATGAGTCAAACACATACTTTACTACCTCTTCTTGTTACTTACAAGTACAACATAGCATTATTGCATCTAATGATTGCACAATTCCGTATAATATTTTTTTATAGCAAGTGAGTGGAAGCAACCCTGCTCACGAGTCGTAAAACCGCTGATTGTGACGCACTGAAAGCAATTTTGACAGATTTTATGTGTCAGACATATACTTCACGACCTCCTCTTGTAACTTACAAGTACTAATTAGCATTATACTATATCATGATTTCATAATTCCGAAAAACATTTTTTTATAGCAAGTGAGTGGAAGTAACCCTGACTATTACAATGAAAAGGTATTACAGTTACGATCTAGGCACTAGGTTTATAAAAACTCCATATAGGTCTAAAGCCTTCTGAAGCAAAAACAATTTCCAATCAATGAAATTTAACACAAAAATCGCCATAGGTTTCAGGTAGGATTACCATAACAATAAATTGAAAAGGAGGACATTGCATTTGAACTCTGGAGAAAAAGCAGGACAATATCCATAGTTTTTATCACCAAACACAATTTTTTTTATTTTATTTTTAAAATATGCACGATATCACAAAATGTATGTTTTTCAGTAAGTAAAGGGTGATACGGTCAAAATTTGGTCAAGGGAAAACGCGTGTAAATCGGTGAAATCGTTTATTTAAAAAATCAAATTAAATTCTTTTTCAAGTTCAATTAGTATAAAATTCAGGAAAAATATTCAGTTAGGCTTCCGCTTTTCCAAATCCGAATTGCCTTGACCCCTGCCATCAGATTTTGTACAGCCACCTTGTCCACCTTCTTCGCCGCAGAAAGCCAGTTTGCCTTGAACTGCTGCTCGCCCTTAGCAGTTTTTTTTGGTCTTCTTTAGGTTCCGCTTGACAATAGCCCAGTATTTCTCAATTGGGCGGAGCTCTGGCGTGTTGGGAGGGTTCTTGTCCTTGGGAACCACCTGCACGTTGTTGGCGGCGTACCACTCCATGGCCTTTTTACCGTAATGGCAAGATGCCAAATCCGGCCAAAACAGTACGGAACAACCGTGTTTCTTCAGGAAAGGCAGCAGACGTTTATTCAAACACTCTTTCACGTAAATTTCTTGGTTGACAGTCCCGGAAGCTATGAAAATGCTGCTTTTCAAGCCACAGGTACAGATGGCTTGCCAAACCAGATATTTCTTTGCGAACTTTGACAGTTTCATGTGCTTGAAAACATCTGCTACCTTTCCCCTTCCTTTTGCCGTATAAAACTCCTGTCCCGGAAGCTGCTTGTAGTCGGCTTTGACGTAGGTTTCGTCGTCCATTACCACGCAGTCAAACTTCGTCAGCATCGTCGTGTACAGCCTCCGGGATCGCGCTTTGGCCGTCGTATTTTGTTTATCATCGCGATTTGGAGTCACTACCTTCTTGTAAGTCGATAGTCCGGCTCGTTTTTTGGCTCGATGCACGGTTGTAGACGATACACCCAGCTTATTTGCGGCATCTCGGAGAGAGAGGTTAGGGTTTCGCTTGAAACTACCGGCAACTCTCTTTGTCGTCTCAGCGGCTTCCGGTTTTCGATTTCCCCCCGATCCAGACTTCCTGGCTGTCGACAAACGTTCCCCAAACACTTTAATTACATTTGTAACGGTTGATTTTGCAACTTTTAGCGATTTTGCCAACTTTGCGTGCGAGTAGCTCGGATTTTCGCGATGCGCGAGCAAAATTTTGATACGCTGCTCTTCTTGCTTGGACGGCATTTTGACAACTGAAGAGTGAATTCCAAAATCAAAATAGGAGCAACATTCTACACACACACACCTTCAAAATGAGGGGTGTTCAGGTTTTTTAAATGTAAAATTGAAAGAAATACGTCAAGATGATATTGACCAAATTTTGACCGTATCACCCTTTATTTAATTAATGATAGAAGGTATTTACTAATAATTTGAATTTGTCAATTTGATGACCAAATATATACATTTACTGCCGCTCATCGCAAGTCGGTCCCATTTGCGTTGTAGTCAAAACTAAGTTTTTGAATGAAAATGGTAGCTAATCACCCATAGTTTCATAATACTGGATAAACTCAAAAGCTTTGTCCTGGAAAAGTTTGAAAAACAGCCAAACGGGTGCATAAGAAGCAATGGTATGAACCTAACTTAATACGTGTTGTTCTCGGCTAGCTGATTTATGCCTGGACTTGCCATGAGCGGCATGTAATTGAAAATTGAGATATGCATGTATAAATAAGATCATTCAAACTTAATACACATTACAAATTTGACTAGAAATACAATGGAAACCACTTAATGGGACCATCGCAGTTGCTTTATGTCGCTTTATGTAGCTTTATGTAACTATGGTCCTTAACTCGACTTGGCGAATGTCAAGCTGTAGATAGTGGATAAGTTTAAGTGTCAATCATTCCCTAGTTATGGGTTTTCTTGTTTGGGCACTTTTGCGACACAATGTACACTTCAAAATTGAAGAAAAACGGAGAATATAAACTTTTAATAAAATGTTTGAACTTTTTTTCACCCAATATTTATGTGATTTGTGCATAGTAAATGATTTTCTGAACTAAAAAATATACAGAAGAAACAATCAAAAATATTTATGGAAAAAGTTTAAAAACATACGAACATAAGTTAAAAATCTAAAAAAATGTACTTTTTTTTTGTTATTGAAGTTTTAACAGTTTTCTTTTTAACAAATATTTTTATTTCTTGTCAGTGTTTTTTTCTTCTGAAAAGGCACTCTAGATTCCCCCAACTTTGTTTCAGATGTCATTTTGATTAGATGAACTTATGGAAAATGAAAATCTTGGACACTTAAAAATTGACAAAAATCGTAGAATTATTTTTAAGTGTTCAAGGTTTTCAATACCTACTTCAGAATTTTTTATTTTTCATAAGCTCAAAAAAATTATTCCTCGTCGAACGTTCGACAGAGTAAGTTTGCTTTACGCTACTCTCTCGACGCCGCAAAAAGTTTTGTTTTTTTTTCGGATTTCGATCGGAGTTTTTTTTATTCACCTTCTGGTGTGCAGTGCCACAGGCATACCGGCATATAGAGTAAAGTTAAAGCCTTCTGAAGCAAAAACAATTTCCAATCAATGAAATTTAACACAAAAATCGCCATAGGTTTCAGGTAGGATTACCATAACAATAAATTGAAAAGGAGGACATTGCATTTGAACTCTGGAGAAAAAGCAGGACAATATCCATAGTTTTTATCACCAAACACAATTTTTTTTATTTTATTTTTAAAATATGCACGATATCACAAAATGTATGTTTTTCAGTAAGTAAAGGGTGATACGGTCAAAATTTGGTCAAGGGAAAACGCGTGTAAATCGGTGAAATCGTTTATTTAAAAAATCAAATTAAATTCTTTTTCAAGTTCAATTAGTATAAAATTCAGGAAAAATATTCAGTTAGGCTTCCGCTTTTCCAAATCCGAATTGCCTTGACCCCTGCCATCAGATTTTGTACAGCCACCTTGTCCACCTTCTTCGCCGCAGAAAGCCAGTTTGCCTTGAACTGCTGCTCGCCCTTAGCAGTTTTTTTGGTCTTCTTTAGGTTCCGCTTGACAATAGCCCAGTATTTCTCAATTGGGCGGAGCTCTGGCGTGTTGGGAGGGTTCTTGTCCTTGGGAACCACCTGCACGTTGTTGGCGGCGTACCACTCCATGGCCTTTTTACCGTAATGGCAAGATGCCAAATCCGGCCAAAACAGTACGGAACAACCGTGTTTCTTCAGGAAAGGCAGCAGACGTTTATTCAAACACTCTTTCACGTAAATTTCTTGGTTGACAGTCCCGGAAGCTATGAAAATGCTGCTTTTCAAGCCACAGGTACAGATGGCTTGCCAAACCAGATATTTCTTTGCGAACTTTGACAGTTTCATGTGCTTGAAAACATCTGCTACCTTTCCCCTTCCTTTTGCCGTATAAAACTCCTGTCCCGGAAGCTGCTTGTAGTCGGCTTTGACGTAGGTTTCGTCGTCCATTACCACGCAGTCAAACTTCGTCAGCATCGTCGTGTACAGCCTCCGGGATCGCGCTTTGGCCGTCGTATTTTGTTTATCATCGCGATTTGGAGTCACTACCTTCTTGTAAGTCGATAGTCCGGCTCGTTTTTTGGCTCGATGCACGGTTGTAGACGATACACCCAGCTTATTTGCGGCATCTCGGAGAGAGAGGTTAGGGTTTCGCTTGAAACTACCGGCAACTCTCTTTGTCGTCTCAGCGGCTTCCGGTTTTCGATTTCCCCCCGATCCAGACTTCCTGGCTGTCGACAAACGTTCCCCAAACACTTTAATTACATTTGTAACGGTTGATTTGGCAACTTTTAGCGATTTTGCCAACTTTGCGTGCGAGTAGCTCGGATTTTCGCGATGCGCGAGCAAAATTTTGATACGCTGCTCTTCTTGCTTGGACGGCATTTTGACAACTGAAGAGTGAATTCCAAAATCAAAATAGGAGCAACATTCT